TGACGACAGCCCTCTCCCCCCTCCCTCCCTCTCCCCCCTCTCTCACCCATAAGTTGACGACAGCCCTCTCATCCACCGAGGCCACCTGGAAGGACAGACCGGAGCTGGACTCTGTGGACCACGAAGGAGACACACACGCGTTAGATAGGACACACATCACTTCATGCGTCACGAGACACACGCGCGTTAGATACGACACACATCACTACACATGTAACGAGACACACACGCGTTAGATAGGACACACATCACTACACGTGTCACGAGACACACACACGTTAGATTGGACACACATCGTTACACGTGAGCTTCCTGAGCAATCCTGAATGTTTTCGAGCGTTCTCGGGTCTGCTGGGGGCAACAATGTCTAGTGTACAGCTCACGTGCTGTCTAGTGTACAGCTGTCTAGTGTACAGCTGTCTAGTGTACAGCTCACGTGCTGTCTAGTGTACAGCTGTCTAGTGTACAGCTGTCTAGTGTACAGCTCAAACAGCATGCTGTCTAGTGGGGATCTGTGCTTTCTAAATACAGTGATCATTTGTTGTTGTTGTTGTTGTTGTTGGTGGTGGTGGTCGTGTTGTTGTAGTTGTTGTTGTTGTTGTTGTTGGTGGTGGTGTTGTTGTTGTTGTTACGGAATCAGCAACAGTGGCTTTCTGTCCAATGCCATGTAGTGATCAGTGCAGGTTTGCTGCAGTTGCTGTAATGTTGCGTAGAGTGTGTTGTCAATGTTAGGTTTTGGAGTGTAGCTCTATGTCATTCAGGGCTGTACAGGGGAAAAGTATTCTTATTTATTACCATTCTGTGTTTTTTGTTTAGTAAGCATTTTACAGCACTTGTAACACAATAAGGTCATGTAAGAGCCAAAGATTAGAGGTGTTACAAGAGAGTAACATACACATAAAAAGAAGGAAGAGAGATCAGGACGACAGATAGACGACAGGAAAGAAGGAGCTAACCAGACCAGAGCACCCACAAACCACACACACTAAAACGACAGGACACAAATTTGCCCCCTGTGTGGACGTGTGGCCAATATCTCCGCTAGTGAACGAGAGAACTGACACATTTTGTTGGCACACCTCACCACTTCCCTGAGACAAGACACAGACCAAACATAGACCAAACATAGACCAAACAGAGACCAAACATAGACCAAACAGAGACCAAACATAGACCAAACACAGACCAAACATAGACCAAACACAGACCAAACATAGACCAAACACAGACCAAACATAGACCAAACATAGACCAAACACAGACCAAACATAGACCAAACACAGACCAAACATAGACCAAACATAGACCAAACACAGACCAAACACAGACCAAAAACAGACCAAACATAGACCAAACAGAGACCAAACATAGACCAAACATAGACCAAACAGAGACCAAACACAGACCAAACACAGACCAAACATAGACATACCAGCCGTGCTGTCATCCTTGAGAGACCTGCGGAGAAACAAAGAGTCACTGATGACTTCGCTAACGTTTGCCTTGACCTTTACTCAACAAAACGGGACAAGAACCAAAGCAAATAAAATCCCCTAAAAAAAACCCAATATTGCCACGCATAAATTGTTCATTAAACAAATTATTTATTTCTGGTAGAGCAGAGACCAAAAGAGGATTAAAACATAAAAAATGTGATAAAGAAAATAAAACAACAAAAAACCAACTAATATTGCAAGGCATAAATGTTCCTTCAACAAACGATTTAGGTAGACCTTGTCGGTAAATGTCTACACCATCAGTCTGTGTTGTCGGTAAATGTCTAGACCATCAGTCTGTGTTGTCGGTAAATGTCTAGACCATCAGTCTGTGTTGTCGGTAAATGTCTACACCATCAGTCTGTGATGTAGGTAACTGTCTGGACCATCCGTCTGTGTTGTAGGCAACTGTCTGGACCATCCGTCTGTGTTGTAGGTAAATGTCTGGACCATCA